TTTTTTTTTCTATGTTTTCAGAGGGATAGGAGAGTTCCTGGAGAGCAGAATCCCTCCGTGTAATCTAGTTATCTGTTTAATGCAGTATTTCTCTACCGTGGAATTTTTAAGAAGGGTGGACTTCAACTCCCAGAATTCCCGGGCTCAGGAATTCTGGGAATTGAAGTCCACCTTTCTTAAAGGTACAACGGTTGAGAAACGTGGCTTTAGTGAATATGAGGCGTTCCAGATTTTCTAGCATTCAGTACCCACAAATTCTTTGCAATTTGGGGAGATGAAGTCTGTGTGCGTCCTCAGAATACTCTATTTGGGGAAGATATCACCCCAATTTTATTTTATTTTATTATTTATTATTTATTTTATTTTATTATTTATTATTTATTTTATTTTTTATTTTTTATTTTTTATTTTTTATTTTTTATTTTTTATTTTTTATTTTATTTTATTTTATTATTTATTATTTATTTTATTTTTTATTTTTTATTTTTTATTTTATTTTATTATTTATTATTTATTTTATTTTATTTTATTATTTATTATTTATTTTATTTTATTTTATTATTTTATTTATTTATTTGTTTGTTTGTTTTATTTTTATTATTTTATTTATTTATTTATTTTTATTTTATTATTTTATTTTTATTTCATTTTATTTCATTTTATTTTATTTTATTATTTATTGTTTATTTTATTTGATTATTTATTATTTTATTATTTTATTTTATTATTTTATTTTATTTTTTCTGCAAGGAGTCAAAAGTCAGCAAAATCTGCTTTAAAGTTTCCGGCTGTTTTAGAGGAACCAGGATTTCCTTGGGATTTTAACAACTGCAGCCACAATCATTGGGGTGCCCGCAGTAAGAATTTTCTGGATTCGAATACGGGCGCCAGCTCTTGAACCGATAGTCCTCAACTTGCGAACGTTGGCTTAGCGACCGTTACGACTTCTAACGGACTTCCCCAGGGCTACTTACGACCCAGATTCCACATTCTGACAGCTGCCCGCCCCACAGTCGCGTGATCGTAGTTTGAGCACTTGGCAACTAACCACGATTTATGGCTTAAGGGCCAGAAATCGGCATTTACTTCCCACGTTCGGCGGAAAAAAAAACACCAATTGCAGACAATGGATTTTGCTTAAGGACGGCATGGATTCACTGCCATAGGAAAGGTCGTAAAGTGAGGCACGGTCACATAGTGACTCCTCTCACAAATGAACCGTGGTTTAGATTTTGGTGATATTGCAACTAGTCCTCAGCGTACGACCACAGTGGAGCCCCAAATTTATGTTGTTAAGTGAGACATTTGTTAAGTGACCGTTTTATGATCTTCCTGGTCACCGTTGTTAAGCAAATCACCGCAGATGTTGTTAGTGACCCGGTCGTTAAGCGAATCTGGCTTGCCCATTGACGTTGCTTGGCAGAAGGTCACAAATGGGGATCACATGAGACCCCGGGGACGCTGCAACTGTCCTAAGTACATGCCAGCTTCCAAGCATCTGGATTTCGATCACGTGACCTGGGGGACACTGCAACTGTCCTAAGTACATGCCAGTTTCCAAGCGTCCGGATTTTGGTCATGTGACCCTGGGGACACTGCAACTGTCTTAAGTACATGCCAGTTTCCAAGCGTCCGGATGTCGGTCACGTGACCAAGGGGACACTGAAACTGTCCTAAGTACATGTCAGTTTCCAAGCGTCCGGATTTCGATCACGTGACCCCGGGGACGCGGCAACTGTCATAAGTACATGCCAGTTTCCAAGCGTCCAGATTTTGATCACATGATTCCAGGGACGCTGCAACTGTCCTAAGTACATGCCAGTTTGCAAGCATCCGGATTTCCAGCAGGCGGTCGTAAATGCAAGGATCGGTCATAAGTCACTTTTTCCAGCGCCGTTGCAACCGTCACTGAATGAGTGGTTGTAATCCGGGGACTATCGGTACCCCCGATACAAGGCACGGCCAGGGTTGCAGATGGATTCGGCCCCAGTTTGTGTTGCATTAGGAAAAGGAAGCTTGTGTAGTATGCCGGCAGGCCAAGGGGGCATCAGGTCCTGGGTGCGAGAGTCGAGGAAGCCAGCCTGCGGTGTTTGGGGAGGGGGGGCGGTGTGGCTGTTGCTGTTTCCCCCCACCCTCTCCACCTCTTTCTAACCTCCTCCTCTTTCTTCCCTGCTGCTCTTTACGGAATCAGAGTGCGCCCCAAATGCATGTCGCAAAGGTACGGAGGGCTCGGCTCTCCCCTGCATGCATCGGCCTCGCCTGACCCTCCCTCGCCCTTCCGCCCCCCCCCGTTTTGTGGGGGGGCCTCGTGCATGTGGGGCAGGGTCTGGAGAAGGGGGCGGCAGGGACGTTTCGGGCCCACCGCGATCATCCGTGCCGTCCGCTTGCCGGATGTTATTCTGGTTTATATGAAGATTTTATTAAATTTATACGCTGCCCGCCGGGGACTCCCTGGGGTTGGGGGTGGCGCCTGAGGTCCCCTTTATTTATTTATTTATTTATTTATTTGTATCCCACCTTTTATTATTCTTTTTCTTACAAATAAGTCAAGGCGGCGAATATAACCAACACACCCTTCTTCCTCCTTCCTTTTTTCCCCCCACACCCTGTGAGAGGGACTGGTGGAAAGTCACCCAGCCGGCTTTCATGGTTAAGGCGGGACTAGAACTCACCGTCGCCTGGTGATTTGGCCCAAAGTCACCCATCCGGCTTTCATGCCTAAGGCGGGACTAGAACTCACCGTCGCCTGGTGACTGGCCCAAAGTCACCCATCTGGCTTTCATGCCTAAGGCGGGACTAGAACTCACCGTCGCCTGGTGACTGGCCCAAAGTCACCCATCTGGGTTTCATGCCTAAGGCGGGACTAGAACTCACCGTCTCCTGGTGACTGGCCCAAAGTCACCCATCTGGGTTTCATGCCTAAGGCGGGACTAGAACTCACTGTCACCTGGTGATTTGGCCCAAAGTCACCCAGCCAGCTTTCATGCCTAAGGCGGGACTAGAACTCACTGTCGCCTGGTGACTGGCCCAAAGTCACCCATCTGGGTTTCATGCCTAAGGCGGGACTAGAACTCACTGTCACCTGGTGATTTGGCCCAAAGTCACCCAGCCGGCTTTCATGCCTAAGGCGGGACTAGAACTCACCGTCGCCTGGTGACTGGCCCAAAGTCACCTGGGGTTCATGCCTAAGGCGGGACTAGAACTCACCGTCGCCTGGTGACTGGCCCAAAGTCACCTGGGGTTTATGCCTAAGGCGGGACTAGAACTCACTGTCGCCTGGTGATTGGCTCAAAGTCACCCAGCCGGCTTTCATGCCTAAGGTGGGACTAGAACTCCTTGTCTCCTGGTGATCAGCCCAAAGTCACCCAGCCACCTTTTATTGCTAAGGAGGGACTAGAACTCACCGTCGCCTGGTGATGGGCCCAAAGTCACCCAGCCAGCTTTCTGGCTAAGACGGGACTAGAACTCACCGTCTCCTACTTTCTAGCCTGGCGCCCCAACCCCTAGACCAAACTGGCTGGATCCATTCCTTCTCTCGGGGGGGGGGTTCTCCCTTCTCTGTCCATCCCCCCCACCCGATTGTCCTTCTTTTCTTTTGTTTCCCTCCCCCATAATAAATGTGGTTACCTTTGTTCCCTTGGGAATTCTAGCGCTTCGAATGGGGTTTCTGTGGGCTGGTGGGAGTCTGGTGGGGCATCCAGTGGGAAGGAGAAATAGGGGTGGGGGCACTGATGCATCTTTCTCCTCCACCCCTCCCACCCCCCAGCTTAGACCTTTCGGAGTTGGCCAAGGCAGCGAAGAAGAAGTTGCAGGCGGTAAGTGAGACGGTTTCGAACTCATGACCTGGCTCGGGCCGGGATCTCCTTGTGGCCACTTTTCCTTTTTTTTTAAAAAAAAAAGTGGGCCGGGGGAGGTTTCTAAGGCAGCGTTTCTCACCTTTGGCTGCTTGAAGAAGGATGGACTTCAATTCCCAGAATTCCTCCGCCGGGGGGGAGGGAATTCTGGGAGTTGAAGTCCGCACGTCTTCCAGGCGTTAAGTTTGTAAAACACCGTTCTGGGTTTATCTTCTTTCTGTCCGTCCACACGGGCCCACCTGACCCCCCGGAGAGTGGAGTTGGAAGGACCCCCCACGAGGTCATCTAGTCCATCCCTCTGCCACATTCAGAGAAAAGCAACTTAACCAGTTATTTCTCACCCTTGGGGGCTTTCAGACGGGTGGACTTCATCTCCCAGAATTCCCCAGTCAGCATAGCTGACTGGGGAATTCTGGGAGATGAAGTCCACCCGTCTGAAAGCCCCCAAGGGTTTGAAACTTCCCATTTTTAAATACGAGAAGGACTTCTTTGCTTTAAAAGTGAAACTGGGCGCGTAATGGGGAGGGGGACAGGACCCCCACCCACCCAATAAGCGTCAAAATCCTGCCGTTTCTATTCCTTTGGCAGCTTGTTCTGCCCATCTTGGGAAGAGGATCAGAACTCGGCACCAGCCACCCAACCTCGCCCCCCCCAGCCAAAGCCTTGTGACTCGAGTCCCCCCCCAAATTAAATGTTTCTCTTCCCCCCCCTCCCCAATAGCTGAGCAACCACCTCTTTGAAGAGCTGGCGATGGACGTTTACGACGAAGTGGATCGCCGTGAAAACGACGCCGGTAAAAGCTTTGGGGGGGGCGGAGCTTCTGCTCTTGCAACGATTAAGGACTAGAAACTTGCAGAGGCTTGTCAAAGTCTTCATTTGGGGGGCGGGCAGCGCCATACTCAGGTTTCTTGGCCAAAGGGATGGGGTGCAGGCTTGGGCTCCAGGTTCTGGGGAGTTGCAGGGGCCAGTTTTATGCCCCCATGGGGTCCCCCACGCCCCCCAGACCAGCCCACCCCTCTGGGTGGCTGACCTTGCCTTCTTCTCCTCTGCTTCCTCGCCCCCCCCCCCCCAAAGTCTGGCTCACCACGCAGAACCACAGCACCCTGGTGACGGAGCGCAGCGCGGTGCCCTTCCTGCCGGTGAACCCCGAATATTCAGCCACACGTAATCAGGTGATCGTCCGTCCCTCTCTCTGTGTGTGTCCTTGACTTACAACAGGTTGTTTAGTGACCGTTCAGAGTTACAACGGCACTGAAAAAAATGACCGTTATGAAATTTTTTCACATGACTATTGCAGTATCCCCAAGGTCCTGTGATCAAAATTCAGACGCTTGGCAATTGACTCATGTCTGTCTGTCATGCCCGTCAATCTGTCTGTCTGTCTGTCTGTCTGTCTGTCTGTCTGTCTGTCTGTCTGTCTGTCTGTCTGTCTATCTATCTATCTATCTATCTATCTATCTATCTATCTATCTATCTATCTATCTATCATTTATCTATATCATCTGTCTGTCTATCTATCTTGTCTCTATCTATCTATCTCTATCATTTATATCATCTATCTATCTGTCTCTCTATCTCTTGTCTGTCTATCTATCTATCTATCTATCTCTATCATTTATCTACATCATCTGTCTGTCTATCTTGTCTCTATCTATCTATCTCTATCATTTATATCATCTATCTATCTGTCTCTCTATCTCTTGTCTGTCTATCTATCTATCTATCTATCTATCTATCTATCTATCTCTATCATTTATCTACATCATCTGTCTGTCTATCTTGTCTCTATCTATCTATCTCTATCATTTATATCATCTATCTATCTGTCTCTCTATCTCTTGTCTATCTATCTATCTATCTATCTATCTATCTATCTATCTATCTATCTATCATCTATCTATCTATCTATCTATCTATCTATCTATCTATCTATCTATCTATCTATCTCTATCATTTATCTACATCATCTGTCTCTATCTACTGTATCTATCTATCTATCTATCACTATCATTTATATCATCTCTCTCTCTATCTATCTATTTGTCTCTATCTATCTATCTATCTATCTATCTATCATTTATCTATATCATCTGTCTGTCTATCTATCTTGTCTCTATCTATCACTATCATTTATATCATCTCTCTCTCTATCTATTTGTCTCTATCTATCTATCTATCTATCTATCTATCTATCTATCTATCTATCTATCTATCTATCTATCTATCTCTAACATTTATCTATATCATCTGTCTGTCTGTCTGTCTGTCTGTCTGTCTGTCTATCTATCTATCTATCTATCTATCTATCTATCTATCTATCATTTATCTATATCTATCATCTATCTATGTGTCTGTCTGTATATCTGTCTGTCCATCATCTGCCTCTGTCCCTCTCTATCATTTGTCTATCACCTTCTATCATCTATTTATATCGTATATCGTATATCTATTATCTATCTATATCTATCTGTCTGTCTGTCTATCTATCATCTATCTATCTTGATCTATCTGTCTATCTATCTGTCTATCGTCAATCTATTATCTCTCTGTATCGTCTGTCTATCTCTCTATCGATCTATTATCTGTCTATCATCTATCTATATCTATCGTATATCTGTTATCTGTCTATCATCTGTCTGACTATCTATCTATTGATCTATCTGTCAACCATCTGTCTGTCTATTTGTCTGTCTTCTACCTGTCACCTTGACTTTTTCGACCACCCTTCACAGACACCCCCGGAGGCAGACACATTTCAGTCATGGCTGCCTTCAGATTGGGGAAAGAGAGGCAGAGCCTGGGGTGAAGGTGGTGGAGTCAAGAGAGGCATCAGCCTAAAATGCCTACGTAGCCACCTTTATGCGCTGCTCTGACCCACCCCTCTCCCCACACCAAAGCTGGACATTTGGCGCCTGCTCACTGTTGAGCACTCTGAGCGACGGTTCGGGTGGTCTCCCGGCTGCTGCCGTGGGGGGCTTCGGTCTCACCCCGCCCTTTCCTCCCTCGTTGCCCCCAGGGCCGGCAGAAATTGGCCCGGTTCAACGCCCGGGAGTTTGCCACCCTGATCATCGACATCCTGAGTGAGGCCAAGCGGCGCCAGCAGGGCAAGGGCCTGACCAGCCCCACGGGTGAGTCTGGGGAGGGCAGGGGCTGTGGGGAGAGGGGCTCTGGCGGGGGGGAAGGCTCTTTCCCCCCCCAGGAGTAACCCCCTTGGTTGTCACTGCAGAGACCCTTGATGCCTCCATCCACGGCCCCGGCGACTTTGATGACCAGCACGACTACGACAGCGTGGCCTCCGACGAGGACGCGGACCAGGAGCCCCTGCGGAGTGCGAACGCTGGGCGCAACAACCGTGCTCGGGTGAGACCCCTTGGGAGGGGGTGGGGGGGAGGGAGGGAGGGAGGGAGGGAGGATATAATGGCTCTGTCAGGAAAAAAAATTCCTGTCAGTGAGAACAGTCAACCGGTGGAACTCCTTGCCTCCAGAAGTCGTGGGTGCTCCATCACTGGACGCTTTTAAGAAGAGGCTGGACAGCCATTTGTCTGAAATGGGTTAGGATCTTCTGCTTGGGGGTTGGACTAGATGACCTCCAAGGTCTCTTCCAACCATAGGATTCTATGATGAAGGGAGGGAGGAAGGAAGGAAGGAAGGAAGGAAGGAAGGAAGGAAGGAAGGAAGGAAGGGAGGGAAGGGAAGGAAGGAGGGAGGAAAGAAAGAAAGGAAAGAAAGAAAGAAAGTGAAAAAAGAGGGAGGAAGAAAAGAGGAAGGGATGGAGAGAGGGAGGGAGGGAGGGAGGAAGGAAGGAAAGGAAAGAAGGAAAAGAAAGGGAAAGAAGGAAGGAAGGAAAAGAAAGGAAGAAAAGAAAGAAGGAAAGGAGATGAGTGGACAAGGGGAAGGGAAGGGAAAGGAGAAGAATGGAAGAAATGAGGAAAGGGAAAGGAAAGAATGGAAAAGGAAAGGAAAAAACGAAAGAGAAGAGGAAAGCAAAGGAGGAGAGGAGGAGGAGGGGAAGGGAAAGGAAAAGAAAGGAAGGAAAGGAAAGGAAGGGGAAGGGAAGGCAAAGGAAGTGGAGAGGAGGGAGATGAAGGGAAGGAAAAGGGGGATGGAGGGAAGAGAAAGACCCCATCCTGCCAGGGGGGCAGCCTCCTCCCCTCCCCACCCTCCCACGGAAGGGGGGAACGCTGTACCTGCCCTTCATCTCAGAGCAAACCTAGACTGAACCCCTTCTTTCCCCCCCCCCCGTTTCCTCCCCCCCCCCGCAGAGCATGGACTCCTCCGACCTGTCGGACGGGGCCATCACCCTGCAGGAGTACCTGGAGGTGAAGAAGGCCCTGGCCGTCTCCGAAGCCAAAGTCCAGCAACTCATGAAGGTGAACAACAGCCTGAGCGATGAGTTGCGGCGGCTGCAGAGAGAGGCAAGTCACCCCCTTTTTTTTCAGGGGGGGGGGAAGAAACAGAAGCCGGGGTCCGTGGACTCCCCCCTCCTTCCGTTCCTGGCGCCCGCCTGGCACTGCCAGCCTCGGAGGTGGATTTGGGGGTGGTGGTTGTGGTTTCACCTGATTGTTGCTAAGCAACCATCTGAGCTTACAACAGCTTTCCTCAGAGCCGCAGGCCGTCCTCGACTTACAACGGTTCGTTTCGCGGCCGTTCGAAGGCACCGTGGCACTGAACAAAGGGACCGCGGATGACCGTGTTTCACACTTACGGCGGTTACAGCATCCCCAGTGGTCACCACCGACCCATAGTTACGACGGTGGCTGTGTCCCGGGGGTCTCAGGCGATCTCCTTTTGCGACCTTCCGTCAAGCAGAGTCAATGGGGGAGGCCGGATTCGCTTAACGACCGTGTGACTCAATAACTGCAGTGATTTGCTTGATAATTGTGGCGGGAAAGGTCGTAAAATGGAGCAAAACTCAGTCAACAAATGTCTCACTTAGCAACGGCTCAATCGTGGTCGTACGTCAAGGGCTGCTTGTAAACAGAAAGCCACTTAGGCCCCCACGACTGCAGCCTCCCCTGCTGTGGTGTGTTGTTAATGTCCGGAAGTTCACAATTTGGACCCACAACTGAGTACAGATGCCCCTTCCTCATCTAAGGGGTCATCTTCCTGTCCTCCACCCTCCCTGGAGACCCCTCACTGGACCCCAACTCCAAGCGGGGGGATCCGTGACTCTGCCCTGCCCCGAACAGGCTTGCAGATTCTAGTAAATTCTTGCAGATTCTTATAATTCTAATGAATTCTTGTGAATTCTTATGAACTCTAGTGAATTTTTGTGAATTCTAATGAATTCTTGCAGATTCTTATGAATTCTAGTAAATTCTTGTGGATTCTTATAATTCTAATGAATTCTTGCGTATGCTTGTGAATTCTTATGAACTTTAGTGAATTTTTGCAAATTCTGGTGAATTCTGGTGAATTCCTGTGAATTCTAGTGAATTATTGCAAATTCTTATGAATTCTTGTGGAGTCTTATGTAATCTAGTAAATTCTTGTGGATTCTTATGAATTCTTGTGAATTCTAATGTATTCTTGTGAATTCCTATGAATTCTAGTGAATTCTGTATTTTTGTGAATTCTAGTGAATTCTAGTGAATTGTGAATTCTTGCAGATACTTCTGAATTCTTGTGAATTCTAGTAAATTCTTGTGGATTCTTATGAATTTTTGTAAATTCTTATGTATTCTAATAAATTCTTGCAGATTTTTATGAATTCTAGTGAATTCTTGCAGATTCTTGTGAATTCTAGTGAATTCTTGCAGATTCTTGCGAATTCTAGTAAATTCTAGTAAATTCTTACGAGTGCTAGTAAATTCTTGTGAATTCTTATGAATGGTTGCTAATTCTTGTGATTCTTATGAATTCTCGTGCTTATGAATTGTGAATCCCTGCGGATGCTTTCAGATTCACAAGCTGCAGTCGGAGAACTTGCAGATCCGTCAGCAGGCGGGGCCCGTCCACCCGGCGGCCCCCACCCCCAGCGAGCGCCCCGAACACAGCCACCTCCCCTCCGCCCCAGCGGGAGCCCTCCGTCGCGACCGTCACGCCTTCTCCATGTACGAACCGGGCGCCAGCACACTCAAGCCCTTCAGCCAGCCGCCCATGGACGACCTGGTCAGCCGCCTGCAGCCCTTCCACCCGGGGGTGAGTGCCTGCGGATCGGGGCCCGGGCAGAGCTTGGGGAGGGGGGTTGAGCCGAACCTGGGGGTCCACACGACTTTTCTGCAGAGAGCAAGAGGAGGTTGCCAAGTTTTTGAAGGAGGAAAAATGGCAGGCGGCCGTTGTTGCACAGATCAGGAAGAGGTGTGCAATTGGCTTAACCGAATAGATATATTCGGTTGGAAGGGACCTTGGAGGTCTTCTAGTCTGACCCCCTTGCTCAAGCAGGAGATCCTATACCATCCAGGTTAAATAATTGCCCAGTCTCTTCTGGAAAACTTCCAGTGATGCAGCACCCATAACTTCTGGTGGCAGGTCGTTCCACTGGTTAATTGCTCTCACTGTCAGGAACAAGGATGCTTCTCTCCTTGATTAATTTCCATCTGTTGATTAGAGATATTGGACTGGTTAGCTTTATAAGAGAGCGGAAGCCGTTTGTGTTAAATACAATCAGAGACGATTAACCGAGAGATTTGAAGATTGGTGTCATATTTGGGCTAACCTGTGGACTGTTTTTATTATTTTTTCTTTTATTTTTTTTTATATACGTGGGATGTCGGGTCGATTTGACTATCAGATAGAGACCTCCCATCTCTATCTGAAATATTTTTTTATATATAACATATTTTTCTTGTTAAATAAGGATGAGAAAGTTTAGGATTATTTACGGACCCATTATGTAAAGGAAGGAGAATTTATCAGGTTTTTAAAATTATTTTTCTTTTCAGCATCCAGTTAGGGTGGATTTATATGTGTGTGTGTGTGTGTGTGGTGTGTGTGTATATATATGTATATATATATATATGTGTGTGTGTGTGTGTGTGTGTGTGTGTGTGTGTGTGTGTGTGTGTGGTGTGTGTGTGTGTGTGTATGTGTATATATATATATATATATACACACACACACTGGCATTTTAGCCCTGACGATGTCGGAAGATACCGACGAAAGCTTGGTGATTATCTATGTTATTAAACTTTTTTAGTTTATTATACTCCTGGTGTTCACGTTTTATTGATTTGAAGATATATATATATATATATATGTGTGTCTGTGTGTGGTGTGTGTGTGTATATATATATGTATATATGTGTGTGTGTGTCTGTGTCTGTGTCTGTGTATATATATATGTGTATGTGTGGTGTGTATGTATATATATGTGTATATATGTGTGTGTGTATGTGTGTGTATATATATATGTGTGTGTGTATGTGTGTGTATATGTAAGTATATTGTGTGTATATATATATATGTGTGTGTGTGTGTGTGTGTATATATATGTGTGTGTATGTGTGTGTGTGTATGTTTAATGTTGGATATTTGGGTCATTTCTTTTTTTTCCCCCCTTTTTTGTGCATTTGTTTTTCTTTTTGTTGTTGTTACTCTTGGACGTATGCTTTTTTCTGTCCTTTTTTCCCACTTTGTATTTTATTCCTGTTGATAAAACATAATAAATATATATCTGAAAAAAGAAAGGAAAGTGTGTGAGACCTTTGTGCAGATCATGGGAAAGTGTGACGTAACACACACACACACACACACACACACACCTTGACCTATTTTGACCCTTGCAGGAATCGGAGGAGGATGGCCTGTATTCCACGCACAGCCAGCCCAACATTTACCGAGTAAGTCCGTTTGGGGAGGGCAGACCGGGCCCTGCACATTTTTCTCCCCCTGGCTGCCCCCTTTGGGGGTTTCCAAGACCCCCACTTCACCACGGGGTCTCCCGACTGTCTGGCCCATGGTGCACAGCCAGCGGACCGACCCTCCGCTCTTTTGGCCTTTCAGATCCGGAAGGGGGGCTCCATTTCGGCCATGCCGTTCCCCCCCTCGTCCTCTGCGCTGGTGGTGGGTCCGCCGGAGGGGAGCGGGCGCCACCTGGTGAGTGGACAGCCGGCTGTGTGGCTGGGGGGGGGAG